GTTTTCACACATTCCCATGGGACACCCTGTAGAGCAATAAATCCTGGTATACAGGGTGTCCCATGGGAATGTGTGAAAACTGTTTGATTATTTTTTTTACTGGAAACAGGGAAAAAGAGAAGAAATACAGCTCCTGATAGAGTAGAGTTGTTATTTTTATTTCACTGTATATTCATTATTGAGACATGTTATTCACCCAACAAAAATGGTAGCTTACAAAAATTGTACGTGACAAGTGCGATTAATAGTAAATGTTTTCGAAATGAGAGCCATCAACACTGGCGCAATAATCCAAACGTTTCCTAAAACCGTGGAATACATGTTCTAATGTTTCCTGCGGAATACCGTGAACAGTCTTTTTAATGTTGTTTATCAAATTTTCGATTGTTATTGGCTTGCTTGCGTAACAAGAATCTTTTATGTAACCCCACAGCAAATAATCACACGGATTCAAATCTGGTGAATAGGATGGCCAATCTATTGCCCCTACACAAACTTTTGGATATCCCAAACCAAGAACTCGACCGCGATAAACTGTATTAAGAATTTCAAAAACTTCGTAAGTACAGTGAAGAGCTGCTCCATCCTGCAGAAAATAAAACCCATTGATAAGCCCTCTTTTTCTTGCATGAGGGAAGAATTTTGTTTCTAACATTCTTTTATACTCATTCCCGGTAACGGTAGATTCGAAAAAATGTAGATAGACACCCTTCATGGAGAGAGCAGCCCAAACAGTGACTTTCTATGGATGAGCAGATTTCGTAAACAAAAAATTAGGTTTTTCAGATCCCCAAAATCTCAAATTATTTTTGTTCACGTAGTTATCTAGCCAAAAGTGTGCCTCGTCAGAAAAAACAATTGCTGTTTCATGCAGCTCGCCATTTTCGAACATTTGTATCATTCTTTCACAAAATTCCTTTCGTCTCAGAATCGCCTGCTCTGTCAAACCCTGACACATCAATATTTTATATGGATGAATGGACGAGTTGGGATTTGCCTTGAAATACTGTTCAACTTCATCGACCTTCTCCTCTGTTGCAGCAGAGAATGAGGGACCTGGAAGAGCAGCTCTACAATCATCCAAAGTGCCGTATTCCTCGACATTTTCAATTATTCTAGAAAAAGGATATCATCATGACTAGAAACCAACGGTATTTCTACGAAAATCTGTAATGTACTTTGTTATGTCACACAATCAATATGAAAACAATTTCTTCTAACCTCCTCAAAGTGGTTTCGCTAGCAACTCGTTTGGATCCAAATTTAGTACGAAACCCCCTAAAAGCTGCACCGTATTTTTTCCCTCTCGAATAGAAGCACTCGATGAGATATCTTTTTTCTTGAATTGGCAAATCACTTATTACTGCTAACAAACTAAGGCTCCTGCCACAGTTGGAATAAAACTGACTGGCCGCTAGTAAACGTAACACAAACGTAGAGAGTCAAGGTTATTTTGGATGAGTCGATAGATGAGTTTAGTTTTCACACATTCCTATGGGACACCCTGTAGAGCAATTCATCGAAAAATCTTTTTCCTTCCGAATGGAAGCATTGCAATCGTTCGATTTTCACATTTTTTAATTTTGCTTGGAAATGATGGAGAATGGTCTGAAACGTAAAAATACGAAGTTTGGGGACCATGTCTGTGCGCGACACTGTCCAGTCGGTGGTAATTTTTTCGTAAATTTGATAATTAAACGGGAAAAATCATTCCAAAACGTTTGAAATTGTTTCAGTTGATTGGTATAACTTGAGACTAACTCCTTGCTAAACTTCAGCTTGATCCGTCCGTTAGTTTTTGAGCAATATTCATTCACTTTTTAACCTTTTCTCGCAAATATCTCAGAAAATATCCAACTGATTTCAATAATTTTTTTTTCAAAATATTCGGCATGATGTCCTCTATCTCAATCAATCAAAATATATATACCCGTTCATACAAAGTTTTTGAGAGATGTAGATATTTCTGTTTTTGACTTGAAATCCTTTTTGCGCCCTAACTTGAGTAAAAATCGAGATATTCGAGATATAAACACATCCATTCGGAAGCCGGCAATCAATATATTGATGGCGAGAAGAGAATAGACGCCGTACTCAGTAGAATATATACAGCCGCATGGCAGTCGCCTACTTGTTTTCTAAAAAGTTACACATCATCATTTTATCGATGTTTTTCTCCTTTGGGGGCTTATTCTCGACTTGTCTGAAGACAGCTTTGGGTGTGATCGAAGTTCCGTTTATGGAAAAATTGGTATTCACACAACTCGAGAATAAATCCTTAGAATGATTTAAAAAGTTACATAATAAATATTTATATTCTTTTCTATTTTATATGCATTGCTACAGATCCATTCGAAAATTTATGGACCCAATGGAATTGGCAGAGAGAAAGGCTAATAACACATAAAGTGACGGGCACATTGCTTCCGTCGAATAGGTTCCCAACACTGCTTGGTTACTTTTGTAGTCGAACATTTGTAGTCGGTCCTTCCATTTTAGATCCATTTGACCCTAATTTTCCGGACATTCTACAATGATTTAATCATTTAAATTTAGCCTGTCTGAATTTGAGTCTCGATATTGAACTGTTAGAAAACATTTTTAAAACTTGAAAAAAAAAATTTTTTTTTCTTTTAAATGAAGATTGATGAAATAATTAGAAAACTATAATTTTCGAAAATGACAAGCATTTTCTATAAATAATTTATAAATAATCAATTCTCAACCATAAAAATCATTTGTTCGGAATGATAACAAAGTTATTCATATTCAGAATTTTACCAGAAGTCGATTTCATGCCTTAATAAATGAGGCTTCTGAAAGGGTAACAAATTTCAATTACTTATTTATAAACAACGAATGTTGAAAAAAATTATAATTCTGTGCAATGCTGTGTAAATATAATTCGACGGATAGTCGATATTCATAGTTTTCTTCAATTATTTTTCATCCAATTCAATTGAGAAATTTTGTAAGTGAAAACGTTCGGCTCTATACGCTAACTGTACACCGCCGATTGCGCTGCTTGTTGCGGAAAATGAAAAATTATTGGCACAAAAAACAAATGATAGAAACTTTTTTTTTTCAATTTTCATTTGCCACTGAACACCATAATCGCACTTAAATTGAATGAAATCACTACAAAATTCATGTCCAGATAATGAAATGCTGCACATCCACTGACTAGAATCCACAAAAAATTATATACATTTATCAGTCATTTTTACTACGAATGATATGAGTCGCTTGTCTATTCGGAGGTTTAGTTTGAATTCAAAGTTAAAAAGACAGAACACCGAAAATTTTGCAAAAAAAGCCGATGAGACAGCATTACTCGTACCCTTCATCAGATACGCAGCTAGCGTATAGTGTGGTTTGCACCAAACTGCACAGAATACTTGCATATCCCTAAATTTGAGCGATTATAAAGTTTCTATTCAGAATAAAAATTCCAAAACAGAGAATTCATTTGAAAGCAACATTGCTAATTTGTTAGGAATAATCACTATACCTATTTACGAAAAAAAGATTGGGTGTGTGACTTAATTTTTGCAGAATTTTTCTTCGAGCTTAAAATTATATTTAAAATAGAAATATATTCGCGGTCTTCTCTGGCTTTAAAAGGATCGGACAAAAGATTTTAGAACACGGAACGACAAGTCTATGTAAGTTACATAACCTTTCCGAATAGCAGAGTTTACTACGGCAACTGATAAACAGCACATTCGGCACTGCATTTTATGCGAATTCCAACAAGGAAAAAATGTTTCTGAAGCACGGGAATCAATGTGTAGTGTCTTGTTGCCGACGTTCTATCTTATGAAACGACTAACTATTGGTACAAACGTTTTAGAAGTGGTGATTTCGATCTGAGTGACCAGCCGCGTCCTGAACAGCCTCGAAAGTTTACAGATGCGGAATTGCAAGCTCTACTGGATGAAGACTCAACGCAAATGCAACAAGACTAGTGGACGGATTTCGATTTTTTTGGTTTTCAAAATATTCGTTTCATTGCCTTCTGTCTATGGCAATTGTTTGAAACGTAGCAAATAAGTCATTATCTAAAGTTACTGGGCTCAACGGAAAATCTCGACCGACTTCTGGACCCTTCGGGTTCAGGAGCAAATCACGAAGCAAATCGCCAAATATGAAATTTCAGTAGTATCAATCTATTCCTTAAAGAGTGTACATCGGTTGGTCCGAGAATCACCTATAGAAAACAATACCAAAGTAACCGAGCATCGAGAATATTATATTGAGTATAGTACTCTGTGTAGCGTCTCTATTTTATTTAATTATCAATTAATTCCGAGTTAACTATCAATTATTTTAAGTCAATCATCAAGTTTAAAATCGAGAGAATCTCTAGTGCAGTGTAAAGCCTATCATCAAATTGACATTGAGACATTCACCAATTCCTGTATCCCTGGAATCAAGACGCGTGGCCTGCGCCACAAATACCAGTACATCACCAGTGTTTTTGTAATCCGCTTGTCTTTAATTTCACCCTTCCCATATCACATGTCCCCAATCCGCCCTAATATTAGCCTCAATCTCTACCATCAATCAAAAGATATATGCCAGTTCATACCAAGTTTTTGAGATAATTCCGTTTTTCTGTTTTTTCATAGAAACACTTTGTAAACACTAATTTGTGCAAAAATCTAGATATCGACTTGAAATCTGGGCAGAAAATATGTATAGCTGCTCATACGAAGTATTCGAAACATCGGAATTTTGATGGCACCCATAGAGTGGCAGTAACTATCTGAAATTTTTGTTGCTAGTTAGTATTGAGAAGCTATAAACTTTTGTAATATATCAGACCACTGGGAAGCCCGCCATTAATGTATTTATGGCGAAAAAAATGAGACATCACTCAGTGACATGCTCTCTGTCACATGGTATGCTGTTATATGCTCGCTGTCCCCTGCTTGTTTTCTCAGTTCAATAATAATGAGCAACTGAAGAAATTAAATTTATCCTACTCATGTTCACAGGTGCAGTTGTAATCATGTTCTTCTTATGCTGGGCACCTTTCCATGCTCAACGATTACTCTATGTTTATGCACAAGAAGCTGACTACTATCCCGATCTCAACGAGTGGCTGTATATATTCAGCGGTTTCTTGTACTACTTCAGCACTACGATTAATCCAATTTTGTACAATCTTATGAGCTTGAGATATCGCAACGCATTCAAACAGACGGTTTGTTGCAGTAAATCCCGGACAGGACACCGGGGTGCCATTGTGGAGGAATCGAATTTACGCACATGTGACTCACAAAGGATTCCACATGTTCCCACCATACGTTGTTCAGATAGACACACCATTGATCAAGCCAAAGACATGTTTAAATTGAATAGAAATCATCGTGAACATGAGAAGAAAACCAAATTGCCGATGGATATGCATAAAGTTCGAGATCCTTACAGAAATATGATTATCAAGCCCTTACTGAAAGATAAACATTCATTTATTGGTGAAAAAGCGAGCTGTGAGAGCACTACTTCTGGCGATAAAAGTCAATCCAGACCAGAGAGAGGATCAATTTCTACGGCTTGTAGTTTTCTGTGATTTTCAATTGATAGATCAGAATCAAGTTCGATATGCGTTGAATGAGTTGCATGTCCAAATAATCCAAATAAAAAGACATACCGTTAGTCGTACTTAAGTGTCGTTACTAGTTTCTAATCATAAATGGTGTAAAAAAATGTGTAAAAATTGATGGATTATCAGTAGTAACCCGCCGAGACCTTTAAGATTATCAGATATTTTTTGAAAACTTCGTTGCAAGCAAATGAACGTATCAGATTGACACGTTCAAGTCGGTTTTATTTTGATAATTTCCTCAATTCTGATTTCGACTAATCAGCGTGCAGTATTTGGGGTCACGTGATACCATCATATCACTTTTATTTTGATAATTCACGGGGCTACTGCTGAATTATCAAACTTTTGACAGATTTTCCCCACATTTTGATGAAATGTCACGTAATCCCGAATACTGCACTCTGTTGGACCAAAATCAGAATTGGGAAAATTATCCTCCGAATACCTCTCGACCTTCAAACTTAATCGAATATTTCCCTCAAGTTTCCCTGTAAAGAGACCAGTGTATCAAGTTTGGCAGAAAAACCTCTCGTGCTGCACACTTAAGATTTTTAAGCTGCAAAACTCTATGTATTTACAATGAAGCTATCGAGAATTGGCCGATAATTTCGAAGGTCTTGGGGTATTACAACTGATAATCCAGCAGGCTACTGAGGCATTATGAAAATAATGCTAAATCCATAGTTGCCTGGTAATATTTTTCTCTGATTTTGATATTTGAATTTTTGAAAAAAAGGATGTGTGAATTTGTGTTGATTTAGTTCACGATAACGAGTTATTCAAAATGAGTTGATTCGGTCGGAATTCTTTTATGATGGAATTTTCGAGAATTCCGCCACCTGTACACGACTTCATCGTAGAATTAAGTAAATCGAAAGAGTGAGTACGTAAGTATCAAATACTTTGGATCTTTTACAAGAGAGAGTCGCGATTTCTTTAACCCCAAAAAGTTAGCACCCCTACCGAAGGGCGATGCAACACCCCTTTATCTCCAGCCCCAGCTCGCGGAAACCGGCCTCCAAGAACATCAGGAAGGGCCTCGCGGGAAAACAACGTTCAATTTCAATAAAAATAATTAAATTCAAGTGTCGATACACATTAAAAACGAGTAAAAAGTAAAAGCTCCGGTTCAAATAATATTAAAGTTGTCGTTCTCTTTTCTTTCAGTTATCTTCCTGGTTTATTTCGGATTTTAGGGGATTATTTTTCGGTTTTACGGTTGAGGAAAAATTTACAGTAATTGTATTTTCCTAGTTATATTTTTGTATTTAAAATCTCGCGGATCCTGACAGGGACGGCGATCCACCGTGGTTCAGAGCCAATAAACCGAGCTTCCCGATGCGATCTCGCTGATCTCGTTGAGTGCAGGCTGCTGATTACAGAAGTTGAGGTGAAATACTCACGCTCCCTGGCTAAGGCACTTTGTGGAGTCATTGGATTCACCAGTGCAGCTGGAGGGCCATGTGGATGAATATAGCCCACTCGTCTGCATGGATCGCCATGGGCTATTCTCTCTTTACACTTGTTCACGGTGATTCCAGGATGACACCCGGGAGAGTGACAGCAGCGAAAAAGTGCACTCACTCAGGTGGGAAGTGCATTCGCGAGGAGAAAAGGCGAACAAATACCTTAATTTCCCCTTTTCGAACCTCCAGATAACTATCGTTCAGTCATTACGGATAAAAACCCATTGGGTTAATTCATAAAAATATAATTAACGGCGAAATGCCTGAATAAGTCTAAAACCCATTTGAATTGAAATCCCCGCGTGCTTGTTTACATGAGCCCGCCGCAGCGGTAGCTGGCGGCGTGCCAGTCGCACGATCCAGCTGAGAACATCCGCTGGTAAAACACAGTTTACGAGAGAGTTGGATAAGAACAACCACTGCGACGACATCCCCGAGAATATCGACAGCGATCGAAAGAGTTGGTGGAGACCATCCCCGCGGGCCCACACGAGGAACATGTTAAGGACATTTTTATTCACCATGTGCACTCTCTCACGAGGAGAGAAGTGCATTTATTCCCAGTGTGCCCAGTGATAACCTCCGGGAAAAATGCACCGGCGTTTACGAGAGTGACACCGAGATGCATTCCCAACCACCAAAACTCCTCCGAGCGAGTGGATAAATGCACCAGTGAGTGCACAAAACCTTCGTCCGGCTTCCTAGACCTGTCCCGAGTGATAGAACCCTAGTGAAACTCAAGTGATAGTGGAAATGGATAGTGAGACACAATAAAAGGCCGCACATGGCTCATGCCCTGCCATGATACCATTGTGCCCTCTCCGCTCACCAAGAGGTTTTGTTGGACAATTAATGCCCCTTCTGAGTGCATAATTAGTTCACTAGAACCCTCGAGAACATATGGGGAATGTCCAGTGCCATTTTTAGTGGGAAAAAGTGAATAAAGCATGCCTATAAGTGCACACATGCTCCTCACGTACCGTGGGTGACGCTGTCGTGCACATGGCGGTTTATTCTCTTTCTAGAGCGAATTGAAGCCTTAAATGAGTGCTCGTCTAGCTCAATAAAGTTCCCCCAAGGTTTTAATTTATTAATATAAGGTTTCTCGGAGGATGAGACCCAGAAAATCACGACATTGAAGCTCGTGAGCTCCAGGAATTTTCCTGTGACGCCACGACGCTCTTGATGGAGGACGGACTCGAATATCGAGCAAAATTGCACTCTTAAGTGACATTTGCACACTCGAGTCCCTCGCCCATTAATTGTCATTTATTATTCTTAGGAGATTCGCCGAGATCATCGCATTGGAATTAACATAGCCTTCAGGTCCTCCAGAACTTCAGTTTCTGGACGATGCGGAGAGATCTTTGGGTTGAATTCTTCGGTCCCCTCATTTCCCTTCACGATAAACTCTCTCTCAAGGTCAATTCACGTACTATCACTCTCGAGAATTTAATTGAATTTAATTTGGTTGAAATTAATTGAAATTAATTTATTTTATTTATGAAGAATCGAAATTCTATTTGAGTTTAAATATTATTGAGAAATTGAATAAATCACGGAGTAAATTTAAAGTAATTCTCTCATCTCTTATTTAATTGATTTTCTGATTCTTCCTCTTGATTTTTCTGTATATTTTGTTGAATTCACGATATCCTTCGTAAGACTGATCCTACCCCGCTCTCCGCATACCTCCGAGCTAGTCGAGCTAATTCCACAACCTCTCCCTTGATTTCCCCAATTATGGCTAAGTTTTTCGTATAGTTCTCTTTCATGCGGTTCGTTGACACCGCTGGAACAAAGTCAGCTGGCGTCCGACAACATTTTCTCGATTTTCCGTTTCTTTCGTTTATTCGGTTTTCGAGTGATTTCATGGGGGCATCGAGGAGCAGAGGCCGAAGGTGACAACACTCCGGCTGTTTTGAGTTTCGCATCGAGTTATGGATAAGTCTACGATTTATCTTTTAAGTTTTGAGGTTTACGTTGGTTAGCGCCGTCACACTTTACGAAAAATTGATAACGAGATTAACCATTTTTTTTACTTCTGTGAGATGTTTGTGTAAGGTGCCACGTGACCTCGATCACTGCACTCTGATTGGTCGAACCCAGGAGGGAGAAAATTCTCCTCTGAATGCTCCCGGACCATCAAAATTTGTCGGATATTAGGTCATCCCACTTCTGGTGTCACACTTTATATTTTCTATATTTTAACAAGTGATAACCGACATACAATGATACATTCATAATATTATTCAGTAATCTCCTCCATTACTGACCATGCGCTCCCCGACTGCTGGCAATTCTCGCGCGCCATGTAGAGTCCCATTTGCATTGAAAATGGGAATAATCCTATGCAACTCAATATCTAACTGCTCTTTGCTATTGTAATGAGTGCCTGACAATTCCCTCTTCACGTGACCAAAACAATTGAAACCACACGGTTTCATATCTTGAGAATATGGTGGGTGGAAAAGTTCTACCCAACCTTTATTGTCAATTAACTGCCGAACGATGCGTACTTTATGCGGTCTGGCATTATCATGTGAAAGAAAGGGACTTGTTATGTGATGTTCTTGTGCCTATTTGGGAATATTGCCCTCCAAAAATGCCTTATAACGTTCAGATGTCATAGTTGTATTTTCTACATAAATCGCCCAAAAAGTGATCCCTCTTATATTCATTGCTATTATCAGCAGTATCTTCCGTTCGTGAAGTTCTGCACGTTGTAATCTTGGCACTGACGTACCCTGGTTCCACCCAAGATTGTGATTGATGTTTTTGAAGAGGCGTAAAAAATTCGACCCAACGCTCATCTACACACAGGAGCCTAGAAAGTATATTTTTCTTACACCGATACCACGCCAAGTCGCTACGTGCAGCTTCGTATCGAAATTCTTTTTGATCGTCAGTTAAACTGTGAGGTATCCATGTTGCCAATTTATTGATCAGACCTAAATCTTCGATGACCACTCTATGCACAGTCGAATGAGGAATGCCAAGTTGAGTGGAACGATCGTTGACACTCACTCTAGGTGACTGACGGAGCGCTTTTGTGATTCTATTGGGGGTGTGAATATGACTCCGCCCTTTTTTATTCAAATGAAACACATTTGCTTGTTGAGAAAATTAAAGAAAAGTTTATTGAAAGTATGCTCCACCAGCAGCTACAACCTTCGCCCATCTTTCAGGTAATTTACGTATTCCTTGCCTGAATAAATCATGATCTATTGAGCTGATCCAATTATCAAGCCAAATTTTGATACTTTCGTATGAAGTGAACCGTTCTCCTGTAAGATCTGACTGCAGTGCTCGAAATAAGTGGTAATCCGAAGGAGCTATATCTGGCGAATATGGTGGGGGGAGTAGCACTTCCCAGTCCTTTCCATCTAAATATCTTTTCACAACTTGGGCGGTATGCGGTTTGGCATTGTCATGTTGAAGAATTAGTTTACTGTACCTATTCACCCATTCTGGTCGTTTTTCTTCTATGGCTTGCTTCAAAGGCAATAGTTGTCGTCGGTAAACTTCTCCATTAACAGTTTGAGGGGGTTCGAGCACCTCATAA